ATGATCAAGCTCATGATCTGTGGCCTCAAGCCCGAGAAGGCCTGGCCAGCGCACGAGGTTGGTCGCCCCGAAAGCAAGCGTTTCCTCTTGGACATTGTTGCCAACAAGCGCAACGGTCTTGATGTTGATAAATTCGGTATGTGGCTTTTCTAGTGTTCGATTCCCTTTTATTTTTTATTTGATTTTTTTTTTCCTCAAGCCCACCCTCCGCCCCCATTTTATATTCACGTGTATAGACTACTTTGTGCGAGACAGTATTTGTGCCATGGGAGCTCCTCCTATCCAATGTGACATTCAACGAATCATTCGTTCCTCCCGCATTATCAACGTGGACAATCAAAATCAAATTTGCTACGAGGAAAAGATGGCGCTACAGCTCATTGATCTCTTCAAGCTTCGTGCTTGGCTGCACAAGTTTGTTTACCAGCACCACACCGTCAACTGCATTGAGGAGATGATTTGCGATGCCCTACGCTCCGCTGATGAGCCCTTCATGTCGTTGGGGTTCCTCAACTGCGACGCTTCGCGCTTATCCGAGGCTGTGGATGACGTTGAGGCCTTTTCTCGCATGGGTGACTGGCTGCTCAACGCCATTGAAGCCAGCTCCGCCCCCACGTTGGCCGAGAGTCGCGATGTGCTCTTTCGCCTGCGCCAGCGTAGCCTGTACCTCTCGGTCGCCGTACCAACCGACCTCGGGCACGAGCACCTTCGCACCAAGACAGAGCAGGAAATTCTGAGTGAGATTTTGACCTTGCTGCCGACCGACGCCAACAAAGAGCACTGCAAGCGCGACCTGCTCGTGCACTTTACCAGCATTGACTTTGGCTCGCGAGACGAAAGGGGCCGAGCCAACAACCCGATTCACAAGATCCGATTCTACAACCCCAAGATCAATGCCGACGTGGGCTTTCAGCTCAAGCGCCGGATGCCCGACATGCTGATGCCCCGTGCCTTCTCTGAGAAATTGCTCTATGTCTACAGCCGCTCGGATGAAAGTTTTGACATGCTGGACGCAGCCTATCGCCGCTGGCGCGATATGATCCATCGACGTGTTGAACGCTTTGAGGCCACCGCTGCTCCTCCACAAACTCCTCCAACCTCTGATAGCATGTTGACACCTGTGGCCACCGGTAACCAGCCCAGCCCGATGCGGCACGCTATTCGCCTACGTCGTACTCAATCACGACAACAGGCTACTTCCTCGGTTGCCCTGCGCAAGTTCAACTCGACCTGAACCAACTGCGAGGATGCCAAGGGTCAACGTCTGAGACGTGGCTGGCGAACCACCTGGTGTTGGTGCAATCGAGAGAACACGGCGTCTTCTTCTTCTTCTTCTTCTTCCTCTTCTTTCTCTTCTTTTTCCTTTTTACACACTGGATAAAGAATGCCTTGCCCAGTGTGTAGAGTAGTTTCTGTGAGGCGGTTCTAGGGTTAAGTACGTAGCTCTGCATGCCTTCGTCCCTCGACTCGCTGCAGTGTGCTTTGGTGGTATTTGGTGGTACTGTGTGAATGGTTGTGGGCATTGGATGTGGATGAAGCTTGGCTCGATTGACAGTACATGTTAGTTGATTCTTCAGGATTGTCAAAAGATAACGTTTGGCGATGGATGGCCATGCGACGTGCATGCCCCATCTTCCGGAGACACAAGCAAAGATGGCATCATCTGATATATCATGACGCAGCAACGCACACGAATTTCACATTCAAACTTGACGCCTGTGCACCTGGCTGCACACAAAAGACAAAGTGGCTTTCAGGAACGTATCAACGTATCAACACCCCGCTCAGCGAGAGAAGAAAGACAAGAAAAGGGGGAAGAAAGCAACACAAGAGGATCGGTTAAAAACACTTGGCACGCGAACGCAATAGGACACAATCAGTGTATGTTCTCAGGACAACACCTGATTCATATCAGTTGTAATAGCGCCAGGGCCCCACATCCAACCACAACGGGAAATCAGGGCAAAATACACGTCAAGAAAAGACACAAGTACAACAAAAAAATCGGGTTCGGAGAAAAGAGCAGATATAAGCATTGTCGCCTGCTTGGGCGAAACGGTGTGTTTAAAACGGAAAAAAAAAAGAAAGAGAGATGGTGCGGCGAGGCATGGCGCATCGTGAGCTCTGCTTGGGCTCAGTGGGCGATGGCTTGCGTGAGTGTGCGGTGCTGCTGACGAAGTTCGTTGAGATGACGAAGGTACTCTTGCTCGACGGCTTGAAGTTGCACAATTTGCTCACGGGCCTGCTGCAGCACGTCCTTCTTCGCTGGATCAGGCTTGTCACGCAGTTGAGGCAGCACGGATGCAAGGCGGGCAAAGCAGCGTTTCAAATCCTCGCGACGAGCTCTGAGAAAGAGAAGCATTAAAAAAAAGAGGGGTGGTAACAAAAGTCAGGCAGTGCAGAAAAAGCGACGGGCGCTCCCAAAATGTAATCCGGGACATGAACCCCCTTTCCCCCCTCCCTCTGTGGTGTGCTGGAGGCATGTCAATCCTTACGACCAAGACTGCGCTAACATACCTTTCCAGAATGTTCATGACCATGCGGCGATTAGCCTCGCTGGCAGCCGAGCCATCGGCACCACGCGGCATCTTAAAATAGTCGATAACGGCTTGCTCACGTCGACCTTTGAGGCTGTTGGCTGCACTGTTCTTGCTGCCTCGACCGGTGCTCTCCTCCTCAAAGTCATCGCCGTCTTGAAAGCCAACTGTGTAGGAAAGGTGCAGACTGTAGGTGGCCACGTGCTCTTCGGTGATGGGTCCACTGACATATGGTTTGGGTGGTGGGCACTCGGGTACCACGGGCTCCAGAATGTCCTCGGCTGTCATGACGCACGGTTGGATTGTGGTACGGATGTCATGGGACGTGTGAGTGGGCCTGGTTGAACTGGAGGTGGGGGTGCGAGTTGTCGAGCTCGCGGGCAAAGCAGGCCAAGCATCAGGGGTGGGAAGCAAGCTAGCACTAGCTGTGTTGTCCAGCGATTGGAGTTCTTCTTGGAGAGAGAGAAGCACGTCGGAAGGGATGTGATCCATGTTGGAGGTAGTCTGTGCCAAGAGCTGTTCCACGGAAAGGGCAGGCCAATCGCCATCGTGGGGAATGGAAGGGGGGAGATCGCGCTTGGTCAGGTGGGGCGTGATGTTGCTACCTGGAGCGTAGATGTCTGCCGCCCGAGTGCGACACGTGCGTTTGGCTGGGGGTTGGGCAGCACTCTCCTCTTCGGGATCCAGGCTGATGGTGGAGGCGGGTGAGGCACCGTGTCCCAAGGAAGTTGAGGTCGCGGTAGCAGCAAGCGGACTCGGTTGCAACGTGTGACTCTCGTGGTCGATTGTGGCGGGCAGCTTTGAGGGCGCTTGATTGGAAGGCATCTTGAAGGAAGGAAAGCAGAGACCATCAACAAAGGGGGAAGCCCAGTCGGCTTGAGCGTTTGTTGATGTGGTGCAGCTGCTGCTGTTGCTGGTAGTTGGCAGCTCATCAAAGAGGTCACTGCCCCAAGGCAGGTCCTTTGCCAAGTTCACGAGGGTGGGCTCAAGAAGCGTAGTGGTGTTGTCGGCCAGGCGACTATCTGAGCTGCCAGAGAGCGTGGAGGCAAAGACGTGGTTGTCATGATCGGCCTCGCGAGCTAGGGCAAGACTGAGGCCATCTTCGGTGTCCCAGTTGAGCAGGGCAGAGGAAGCCAAGGATCCCACAATGTCCGTCATGGTGAAAGGCTTTGGAAAAGTACGTCAAAGCCAAGTGGGAAGAAAGGAGCTCACTCGAAAGACCGAGAGCTGCTTTGAGCCAACAATACCCGAAAAGATTCTTGAGCTTGAGAAGACATAGATCAAACTCTACAAGGCGGGAAGGGGGGGGGGATCAGTGGAGAGAGCGAGCGCGACAGACAGACAGAGGTGAGACCAAGATTGTCGTCGAGTGAGGATGGGTGAGGATAACACAAGATTGGTCTATTGGAATGTGTTTGTCCAGGATTGAAAGTCTCGCCAGAGCGGGTGATGCAGGCGTGTATGTGATTGTCAAAGAGATTGTCAAGAGGCTTGTCCGGACGAGGGAGGAAGGAAGAAAACGAGGCAAGGCAAATTCGAACGAGCGAGGGTGGATGCATGTGGCATGCTGCAAAAAGAATGCACTGAATGGCGGGGCGGAACGGGATGTAGTTCGTACCTGTCTTTCTTCTTCTCGGACATGAGCTCAAGCACGAGATCCTTTGTGGTGTTGCTTTTTGTTGGAGATCGACACTGATGATGAATGGGAACGGCAGCGGCGTTGGCGGCGGCAGTGGTGGTGGTGGCAGGCAGGGACGGCAGTGTTCACAGGAAGTCGAGCGGTGGCAATGAACAAGAGCAGCGCGAGAAAGCAGTTCTCAACTGAATGCCACAGAATGGCACGACTCGACGACGAGAGAAAATGAGGGTTGTGGACCAACACAATTCAGGAAACGAGGGACAAATGGCCGCGACGGGCGCCAAGAGAGGAAGCGAAGCTGACGGCGGCGGCAGCGACGGTGGGAGTGGTAAGTGGTGGTAGTGGTAAGTGGTGGTAGTGGTGGGGAAGTGCTAGTGCTACATGTGGTCGTTGTAGTAGTAGTAGTGGGTGGATGCTTCTGGTGTCTGTGATACAACTATTGGGTAATCGGAAATCGATTGCGTGATCCTCTGAGTCCCTCTTTACGTTTCCTTGGTGTTTTTTCCTGTGTGGTGGAGGTGGTGTAAAACATCAATCACGGAAGGAGAAGCAGCAGAGGAGCAAAGGAGACGAAGAAGAAGAAGAAGAAGAAGGAGGAGAAGAGAGGGAGAAGAGAAGTGGGGTGATGTTTTGGTTATTCACAACGAATGGTATAACGATCAAACATGTGGGTGTATCGAAGAACATACACGACAACGGTGGAAATCCTGCTGCGAAACATCAATAAAGGGGAGCGAAAAACAGCGCCTGCTTGGTTTGGTCAGCGACCCAATTTGAACGTGCGACCGTGTGAGTGGGAACCACATGATAATGAAGTGTTATGCGGGAAGGAGTTGAGAGGAGTTGATTTGAAGAACGTGGTAGAAAGAGTGGGATTTGTGGGATTTGTGGGATCGTGGGGTTGGCCATGTCAATGCGGGAACAGTGTTCAAGGTGGAGTCGGATGGGTGCAACGGTAGCAAAAGGGCACTCCTGATCAAAGTGGAGGAGTTTGGGAACAACTTGACATTCCTGGTGGTGATAGAGGGGACGAGTGGCATGCGAGTGTGCTGGGGACAGGCGCTCAAAGCCCATAAGCTGGCAACCGGAAACAGACTTCTGAATTGCCAGCTGAGCAAACACGACCCCCCACCTCCTGCCCATCCACCCATCCAACGCGCCCATTCACCCACTGCCATATGTTTATCCCTCTTCTTCTTGTTTCTTTTTGTTTGTGTTTTGCTGAGGAGGAGTTCCAAGCAAGGGCGCCGTCCTCGACAGCAGGGTGCTGCTCAGAGGGTGAAGGATGCCTACCATCACCGAGGTCCTGCGGGCACACTGCGTATCTCTCTCTGCCCGAGTCAGTATTGGTGCACCGGTCAGGGCCGGAGGGGGTTCGGCTGGAGGCGCCACCTGTCAGTGGGACATGGAGAAAGGCGGTGAGTGGAGGGAGGATGGTATCATGAGCCGAGCGCAAGGAGCAGGCGCCCGTGATGCGTTCTATGACAAAGTGTTGCTGCCGAGAAAGCCCTCCGGAGAAACGTACAACGATGCACACTCCTCCAGCAACTCGTTTCGGCGGACCGGTATCACGAGCGATGAGTAGTGATTGATGGGTCGTTTGGAGACGGATGATGTTTGGTCACCATCTGCCGAGCCCACGACGGCTAGCCAGTTGCCAGGTACGCGCGCGTGCGCGCGAGCGCGCGTCCACCGCCATGTTTTTAGCATGAGCGTGGTGTCTCGGCGCCTCCAAGAAGGCGTGTTCTTCACATCGCATCACCCAGTCCCACCACAAACGGGATGGCGAAAGAATGAGGAAACACCCATAAATCAGGTGCTCGGACAGTTGCCAAACAACCCGGCGATTGCATCGCTATTGCCTAATCGGGGGTGATGCGCCCCTCGATTACAACATCGCTTGCTCGCGATTCGTCCGCACACGTAGCACGCCACCAAACCACCACGAGTGGGGCGCCTTCAGCGGAAAGCGACCGCGTGGTAAGGATGAGCGTATCTCCCTGGAATTTGGAATCATTCCAGCCACCAAAAACCACCTTGACACCTATTCAACATGAAACTTTGTGAGTCTTCTCGAGTCTCCGCAAGTCTCCGCAAGTCTCCGCACAGACGTCGTCATCCTCTGCCCCCAACCAAACAGCTTGCAAGCGAAACCTCCAACTGTTCACAACAGCAACTGTGAACAAAGAGAAGAGAGAAGAAGAGAGAGAGAGTTCTTCGTCTTTCACTCTGTTATTCTTTCTTTCTTTCTTTCTCTTGATCGCACAAGGCGAAGACTGTGCTGGTCCGCGGCCGTGTCTTGTGTCTTGTCCTTCGTGCTTGTCCTTCGTGAGAGCGTGAGTCGCAATCGGGCTTTGCCTTGTGCATGCCAGTGGGTTGCATGCCCCGAGAAGGGCAGGGGGGACAGCAGTTGCCTACTTTCTTCCGAGATTTGCTTGAGCGGGAGCGGGGGAGGAGGGGCTACAAGCAAGGGGGCGTTGTTGGTTGAGCTCAGGTTTTGGCCTGGCCCGTGCTTGAATGAATCGTGCGCTCATATCTCACCGCTGATGGGTCGCGCTGGCCGTGTGCTGGATGCGCGTGCTTCTATCATCTTTTCAGGAGTACGGGGCAGCCAAGTGTCTGCACAGCCGGCATCATGAGTGTTTCCTACTCCCGCCAAGGTCTGATCATCTGTCGCCAAGACCCCACTGTTTTCCGCTTGCTCTCGCTCTCTCTCTCTCCGTCTCTCGCTCTCTCTCTCTCTCTCTCGCTCTCTCTCTCTTTCTCTCTCTCTCTCTCGCTCTCCCTTCCTATCTCCCTCTCTCCCTGGCCCCCTCTCTTTCTTGGCGAGTGTGTTTCCTCCATTGCGTTCAGCCGGCATTCTTTGTCGCCTGCCCTCGGGCACAATTGCTGAACCTCGGGCTCTCATCATCACGCTTCCCTAACACCCTGGTAGAGGTCGAAGAATGGGATCTGGAAAACGTCGTGGCCTACCTCAAGGTCCTTGATGTCAGCGAAGCCGTCATTGAGGCTTTTCACGGTTGGTTGATGGGTGCTCTGCACAAGTGGGATGCATCCGCTCAGCTGCCGCACTCCTCATGGGTGCTCGCGGCTCATCGATCGTGTCACAGAGAATGACATCAACGGTGCCGTCCTGGTCGACCTCAACGAGGAGCTCGTGGCTGAAATGAATCTCTCGCCCGAGGATGCCACTAAACTTCTTGAGGTCGGTGCCCTTGATTGCTGCACCAAGGCATCAGCCCCCGGTATTTGAACATCAAGGGGACATCAATACTGGCGTCTGTGTTCCTCATCCCAACGTCCCCTTCCCCTCCCCCCCCCCCCCAAATTT